CTAGAAGAACAGAAGATACTTCATGAAATAAAAACTGGCAGGCAAAATCAGAAACAATATTGGCAGTCTGATTGATTACGACAAGAACAAGTAAGCTGTTCGCCCAGGAGCCATGCCGACAGACCCCTCAGAGCAAGCCCCCTTCCAAGACTGAAACTCAAGGGGAATACAGGAGCAAGCATGTGGCTGGCGAAAGGAAATGGGGATAAGACTCTTGTAGTACAATAGTGAATAACTGCCATCAGGACTGACTGAGGCGAGGAAATATAGAGGTAGATGTTTTTTGACAAAAGGAGGAGAGTGATTGATTTTGCAGCCCAGGAGTGGATGTCCCTGGGACCATCAAGGGAAAGGACTGGAGAGCAGGACCCTACACAGAGAGGCAGTGACGCCAGGGATGGAGGAGAAAGAAACGATGATGTGGACAGATGGAGCTGCTGAGGACACTGGACTCAGGAAGGGAGAAGGGCTGTGTGCTGGTGGCCGGGGTGGGGTGGGGTGGGCGGTGGGCCTGTGTGGTGTATCCTTTGGGGTTATTTGATGATGCATGGATGGAGAGGATTGTAATCATTGCAGTGAAATGAAATACGGTAGGATGAGTGTCAATCTGATGTTCTCCCATGTAAACCTCACAATAAAAACTTTAAAAAAAAAATTCACAAGAGTCTAACTAATAAGCCAGAATGTCCATTTACATATTTGCATGCAAAAAAAATGTATATAACTGCTAGGAAAACATTCTAGTAGATCAGATCTTTTTTTCATAATAAGAAAGTATATTTAGGAAGTAGGATTAAGATCAGATGCACAATGATGATCTTAACAATGGTGAAGCATGCATGAGGAGTACTAGGCATATGTCTGCGAATGCCCATGAGGAGTCTTATTGGGTGGCCAGAGCGTCCTCATTTCATCATTGTCTACACTCTTCCATTTTCTTGGACCTGTTATAATCATTACAGCTTCACATTACTTCAGTAACACAGCAAAAGCTGCAAGAGCCGGAACTGAACAGGCTGCCTTATTGTTCTGAGTCTTGAACGTTTTCTGCCTTTGACAGGGTGCTTACCAGGTTTTTGTCATTCTCTATTAATAATCTTGGAAACATGGCTCCATAGGATAAGCACTGGACTATGAAGCACAAGGTTGGATATTCAAGCCCACCAGTTGCACCACAGAAGAAAGATGAGGTCTTCTGCTCCCATAAAGATTTAAAACCTCCAAAAAATGTTATCTAAAATGCAAGTGTCTATTAATTGCAATTTGCTCTTGTCTTATGACAGCACATTTACAAGCCATCTCTTAGGATATATTGCATTAATACATAAATGATTTTTACATTGACATTTACCAGTAATTTTAGTGGGTAATATTTCCTTATTTGAGTCCTGGTGTGGCGTTGTGGGTTAATGTGCCAGACTACAAAGCCGTTTGCACTGCAAGGTTGGTGGTTCGAACTCACCAACTTCTCCTTGGAAACCCTATACAGGGTTACTATGGGTTGGAACTTACTCAACGGCACTTAACAACATTTCCTTATTTGGAGGTTGGAGCAAAACAATACTTGAAAAATTATAAAAACAATGAGCAAAATATCTACCCTGAATATCCTGAGAAGGAATATTCAATCCAACAAGCGAGAAGATACCCAACAACTATAGCATCATGTGAAAGTACTGTAAGATACAAATATAAAGAAAATGGGCAGGAAAGCACTTTTGGCTTTAGGGACTACAGATATCTTCAGAAATAAGGTACTCATTAAACTGTACCTTAAAGGAGAAATGAGATTTTGATAAATCATAATATGAAGAGAAAGCATTCTACACAGAAGAAATAGTATGACTGAAGATGTTACAATATGGGAAAGTATGAGCTATGTTTAACAGATACTGTATTAGACCAGCAAAAGACAATTGTTACCAATCTCAAGCATGGAAGCCCTTTAGTAATATTAAAAAAAAATTCCAACATGATAGTAATTAAAGCTTTTATTAGCTGATGATTGAGAAACTGTATTTATACAGATAACTTTTCAGGCTGAAATAAACCATTGCTCTTTTAGGATTTCATGACTAAGTATTAAAAAAATTACTAACAATAAATTTGTATGAAGGAGAGTTGTTGTTGTTAAGTCCTGTTGAGTCAGTTCTAACTCATAGCAACCCTGTATAGGTTCCCAAGGAGCAGCTGGTGGGTTTGAACCACCAGCCTTGAGGTTAGCAGTCCTACAGCATCACACCAGGATTCCATGAAGGAAAGGTGGTGTTGTTGCTGTTGTTGTTAAGTGCTTTGGATTTGGATCCAACTAATAGCAACCCTGTGTAGGGTTTCATAGGAGCAGCTGGTAGGTTTGAACCACCAACCTTGTGGCTAGTAGTCTAGTCTTTGCCTTACAGCACCACAAGAAGACTCCACATTAAAAAAAAATAGTAGAAAGTAAATTGAGAAACTTAATAAATGTAAGTAAATTTTTTGTTGTTAAGTGGAGTTGGTTCTGACTCAGCAATCCTTTATAGGGTTTCCAAGGTGCAGCTGGTGAGTTTGGCCTGCCAACTGTGTTATTAGCAGCCCAGTGCTTATTCTACAGTGCCATACCAAGACTCCTAAGTAAATTTGTTGTTGTTATTAAGTACTGTCGAGTCGATTCCGACCCATAGCATCCCTGTTTCCGAGGAGCAGCTGGTGAGCTTAAACCACCGACCTTGTAGTTCAAATGGATTTGCAGTCTGGCACATTAACCCATAGCACCACACCAGGACTTTAGAAAGTTTAAATGCAGGTTAGGCTTTAGAGATTAAATTAGTAAGAATACCCTCTTTATCTAAAATTACTTTTTAAATATTCTTCTTATATTTTATTATGTTGTATAAGGATTGATGTGATTGAAAGGTTTCGGTGAAATGTATTTTTTAATATAGAGTTTATCTTGATATGTCTATTAGTTGGTTTAAAATATGCTCAGATTTAAACTTTGGCATTCTTAAATATTGCATCTTTAAGTACATGTCTTGCTTCTTGGTTTCAGCTAGTCAAAATACTTGCAATCATCAATATCATAAAACTGGAATAATACGTTTGTCTCATTTTATGACTTTGAAGTATTCAAGGCATCATTTGACTAAGTGACATCCATCACATCTCTGTCAAAGAATTTTCTTTTTTCCAAAATCAAATAAGTAAATGACATTACTACGCAAAAACAAAAGTGATGGGAAATAAATAAAAGTAGCCCAATACCAAGTCATGGCGATCCTATGTGTTTTGGACTATGACGAGGCTTCAAAAAATGGATGGAAAAAAATGGAATTGAAAGATAATGGATTTTTTCCACCCGTTTTTTGAAGCCCCTTTTTGTAGAACTATGCTCCAGAGGGTTTTCATAACTTTAACCTTTTGGAAATAGAGCTTCTGTTCTTCTGGTGAGTTCAAAGTACTCACCTTTTCAGTTAGTAAGTAACCCAGCAGTAAATCATCTGTGACATACATGGACCCCAGAGTCTAAAACTAAAACCAAACCTATTGCCATCCATTCGGTTCCACCCCATAGTCACCCTGAGGGACAGAGGAGAACTAACTGCCACATAAGGCTTCAAAGTCTGTAATTTGCTTGTAAGCCTCTAGCTATCAAAAACAAAACAAAAAGAAAAAAATCTATTTGGTGGTAGGACACTAGGGCTTCACTGAAGAGGAAACGCTTGGGAAATGGGTATTAGAACTAAGACATCCTGATCAAAAAAGAAAGCCTCACAAATGCTCATAGTGAATGCCACGCCATCAGTAGGCACCACCATCACTGCAAATAAAGTCTAATCATATCCAACTTTGCTTCAGTGATTTTCAATTCAAAGTCCTGGTAGTATGTGTCTTATAGGCCAAACTCAAGTCTTTAGCCATCTTCCTTCCTGGAAAGGTGAGGCCTTTGTACTTATCAAACAATAACAAATTGGGAACTCTCTTTCTACAAAGAGAGGAAAGAAGGGCTGGTGGGAAGGAGAGAAGGAAGGAGGATGAGAAAAAAGAAAGAGAGGGAGGAAGGAAGGAAGATAAGGTACTGGAGAGTCAAAAACCAAAAATATAAACATCCATTATGGCATTCCTAATTAAGAACATGAATTGTTCCTTTGGGTTAAGAAGTTTTAAGACGAGAATAGTACTCTTCTACTTACGACTCGGGCTGCGAACCTTAAGGTCAGCGGTTCGAAACTACCAGCCGCTCCGCAGGAGAAAGATAAGGCTTTCTACTCCCGTAAAGATTTACACCCTCAGAAACCCTGTACAGGGTCGCTATGGGTGGGAACTGACTCGACGGCACTTAACAACAACAACTTGAAAATGGGGCTATCTGGAGTGTATGGAGAGGAACAAGCCTCCTTCTGTACTTCCTACCATGGGGTGATTAACATAAGTAGAAAATAATGGACTTCAGTAGATTCTTAGAGGGAATTTCACCAATCCACTGTTGCTTATCTTTCAATAGAGGATCTCACCTGCTCTCATTGTTTCAGTAACACTCAGATACAAATAATTTCCAATTTTCTATTTCCAGCTCAGGAATCTCCCTATACGTCTGCATATGTCCAACTACTAACTGGATATACCCAAACTCATTATTTTCTCCCTTTGTTGTTGTTGTTGTTAAGTGCCATGAAGCCAGTTCCTACTGATAACGACCCTGTATAGGATTTCCCAGGACCAGCTGGTAGGTTTGAACTGCCAACCTGTGGTTCACAGTCCAGTGCTGCTCATACAGCACCACACCAGAAGTCTTGATGCACTTACTAACAACACATTTTAAATCACTTCCAGATTTTCTGTCACTTTTTCATTTTTCATGTCTTGTAACTAGTTTTTCTTGATTATTTTAGTGTAAAGTATAGACTGAAAATAGTATATTGCCCTAATATGTACATAAATTTTCAAAAGTATGTGTTTTTAACATTTTTCATGCAATTTAATGATTTTTTGGTGATTGCTTTATTTTTAAATTGATTTTGTAGGTTTTCGAAACTTACATATTGATGACCAGATAACTCTCATCCAATATTCTTGGATGAGTTTAATGGTGTTTGGACTAGGATGGAGATCCTATAAACATGTTAGTGGGCAGATGTTGTATTTTGCACCTGATTTAATACTAAATGAGTAAGTAGTGACTTCTGTTATTGTAATTATCTTAAGAATGTATTTCAAATCAATAGTGAAAATTGTACTTCAATAGATGATCATACATTTAGTGTCCTGAATAACAGAATTATCCTGAAACTCTTCTCAGAATTATCTCAGGATGCAGCCTTATATGACAATATTAGAAAATTATATTGCTTTATTAGTAATTTTAATGTCTGGAGTTTTATTGTTTTGTTTCATTAC